ATATATATATATGTATCACAAAATTTATCATTTTTATAATTTTGTTATTATTGTTTGTGACAGGGTCTCACTATGTAGCCCTGACTGGCCTAAAACTCTCTATTCAGACCAGGCTGGCCTTGAACTCACAGATCCACCACCTCTTCCTCCTAAGTGCTAGGATTAAAGGTGTGTGCAACTAAACTCAGCCCACATGATTCTTAATCCTAGCTTGAGAGGCTGTCATGACTTCCTGCACTCTACATAAAAATTATTGATATACCCAAAGATAAAATTGCCCAAGAAAACAGAAATAGAGGTTCTTTAATCTCCAGCTGATACTGCATTTGACAAAAGCCTGAAATGAAATTCTCCTCCTTAGATACCCAATGGAAAAGGAAGACATTTAAGGTGATGTCCACCTCAATGCTGTAAACAACAAACACTCATACACATAAAATTTTTAAATTTAAATAAAAATTAAAAATGAAATGTTTAAAAACAAAATAAAGGTGGCTGGAGAGATGGCTCAGAGGTTAAGAGCACTGGCTGTTCTTATAGAAGACCCAAGTTCAGATACCAGCACCCACATGGCGGTTAATAATCATCCTTAACTCCAGTTCCAGAGGATCTGACACCCCCTTCTGTCCTCCAAGGGCACTGCATAACACGGGTGCACTTACATACATGCAAGCAACACATGCATACACAAGATAAAAATAATAAAATATTTTTAAAAATAAACTAAAGGTTTCTTCACGTTTGGTTTTTGTTTTGTGTGTGTCTTATGGTAGGGGGTGCACACACATGCCATGTCCATCGGGGAGAGTTTTGTGGAGTCCTCTCCTTCCACCTTTATGTGGTTTGTGGAAATCAAACCCAGGTCTGCAGGCTTGCATGGCAAGCACCTTTACCCACTAAGCCATCTCCCTGGCCCACAAACAAAAATTTTTAAAAATTAAAACTCTATGCCAGGTGTGGTGGTGCACACCTTTAATCCCAGCACTCAGGAGGCAGAGGTAGGTGGATCTCTGTGAGTTCAAGGCCAGCCTAGTCTACATAGTGAGTTCCAGGACAGCTGGGGCTACAGGGCGACCTTGTCTCAAAAAGACCAAAAAAAAATTAAAACTCTGAATTAAATGTTGACAGTTATAATGCATAGTTCACAGAAAGGATGGAAGACAGCCGATGACATTTCCCAGAAAGAAAAGCAACAGAAAAAATGAGTGGAGAAAAACAAAAAACGTGAGAACAATTAAAAACCAAAAAAATCTCAAAAATTATATAGATGGTGCTAGAGAGATGGCTTAGCAGTAGAGGACCTGCATTCAGTTCCCAGCACCCACATGGTGGCTAACAACCATCCATAACTCCAGTTCCAGGGAATCTAACACCCCTTTCTGGTCTCCATGGGCATTGCATGACATGAGTGCACTTACATACATGCAGTCATTACACTTATACACATAAGAAAACAAAAATAAAAATGAAAAAAATTAGCTGGGCATGGTGACATACACCTTTAATCCTGGCACTTGGGAGGCAGAGGCAGGCAGATTTCTACAAGATCAAGGCCAGCCTGGTCTACATAGTGAGTTCCAGGCCAGGCCAGTTGGGGCTGCCAGGTGACCCTGTCTCAAAAAAACAAAACAAACAAACAAAAATTTTAATTTTTATTTATTTTTTAAATATTTTATTATTTTTATTTTATGTGTATGAGTGTATTGCCTGCATGTATGTGAGTTCACCCATGTCGTGCAATGCCGCAGAGGTCAGGAGAGGGCTTCGGATTCCCCTGGAACTGGAGTTAAGTACGGTTCATAGCCGCCATGTGGGTGCTGGGAATCGAACCTGGGTCTTCTTCAAGAGCAGTCAGTGCTCTGAACTGCTGAGCCATCTCTCCAGCCCCACCCTCAATTTTTTTTAAATGAAATGGAGACTATTTGTGTTTGGTGAGGCAATTTGAGAAGAAATGGAGTCATTCCTTCAAAACTCACAAAAGTGATTTCCAACCAAGAATTTTACCCACAGTCAAAAGACACAGTATGATAACAAACAGCCTTCCTCCATGGTCCACCCTGGTACCCCTCAGGAGCCAAGACATTCCCTGTGTGTACCTGATTTTTGGTATGAAGGTCAAGATTTGTTCCCAGAGCAGCAAGTTTAAGAGCCTGGTTGTTTCCATGGCCTATCTGCTTTGTCCCTGAGGTTCTAGTGACAAATCAGAGCTTTCTACTTCTTGGAGGAATTCCCACCCCCAGATTCTTCCTTCTGACCTCACAGGAGCTGCCTTGGTCCTCTGGAGCCAGGGCTGTTACTTCCTGGGGTGAAGTCCAATTAGCTGGCATGGTCACACTGAGTCTCAATCCTGTTTTCTCAGCAGCCTGAAGCTGAGTCGTCCTCTGTGAATTCAGTCAGAGCTGCTAGGTGATGTGGAGTCTGCCAGAAGATCTTGAACAGCAGGAGCCTCAGAGACACACCAAGAAACCTGGAAAGATCAAGTCCTCAGAGTCAGTCATCCCTCTCTCAGCACTTACACACTTGCTGAGTCTATCAAGGTACCAGATAACACAGAGCAAATTTGGGAATGCATTTACATCATCTGGAAGTCTGGGCAAAATAGAGTCAAAAATTCTCAGCCTCACTCCCACAATTTTGGCTTCAATGGGTTAAGGATACAGGAATTTTCATGTCTTACTCATGCCAAAAATTGTGCTGAAACTGTTGTACCAGGGCCCACATTGAAGAAAAGGTGCTGTGGAGAATAGGAAGTTAAAGAAAGTAGCTTAGCAGTTAAGAGTGATTATTGCTCTTGCAGATGACCCAAAGAGCTCCGCTCCCAGCAACCATGTCAGGCTAATCACAACCACCTATAACTCCAGCTCCAAGGCATCCAAAGCCTCTGGCCTCCTCAGGCACCTGCACTCACATGCACAAACCGATACACAGACACACAGGCATATACATAATGAAAAACAATAAAAAGAGGGACTGGAGAAATGGCTCAGCAGTTAAGAGCACGGGTGCTCCTGCAGAAGACCTCAGTTCAGTTCTCAGCATCCATATGGCAGCTAGTAACTCCAGTTCCAGGGCTGGACATCCAATCCCTCTCTGGCCTCATGTGCCACACATATATTTGCAGGCAAAACACTCACACACATAAAATACAAATAAAATGTGTGTGTGTGTGTGTGTGTGTGTGTGTGTATGTGTGCATGCGTGCGTATTGCCTGCATGTAGGTAAGTGCACCTGTGTCATGCAATCCCTGCAGAGGACAGAAGAGGCCATCAGATCCCCTGGAACTGGAGTTACAGACAGTTGTTAGCTGCCATGTGGGTGCTGGGATTCGAACCCCGGTCTTCTGCAAGAACAACCAGTGTTCTTAACTGCTGAGCCATCTCTCCAGGATCTCAAATAAAAAATTTTTAAAAGAAAAAAATAATATGAGGTTACTTCAGTTTTAATTTCAAAAAAAATGAGGACCTGGGTGTGGTGACCTAGTCCCAGCACTTGGGAGGCAGAGGCAGGTGGATCTCTGAGTTTAAGGCCAGAGCCTGGTCTACATAGCAAGTTCCTGGCCAGCCAGGGATACATAGTGAGACCCTGTCTCAAAAATAAAAAAGCAAGCCTATCTTTAATTACAAAAATTAAATGCCATGATGTTTGTAAAGTTTCCAGTATGTCCCTCAAAAATCATGCAATAAATATTAGCCATTACCATGTACTGCCAAATAGTAAAACAATATAAACCATGTAATCAAACAAAATAAATAAAACAAACACACCAGACGATATTGAGCTATATACGTTACAAAAGTGGTATTTAATGGAGTGTACCCAAGACATTCACTGTGTAACTGTGCTGATATAACTCTCTACCATATCACTTGGACAAAACAAACTAGATCAACCATCACACATTTAAACGTGTACTTTTTTAAACATCCCAAAATATTAAAATATACTTTCAGAGTCTATATTTTTGTAACAGTGTTGCACTGGGAGTGATGTTAACAATTATAGTAGCGTTAGTTTTTCCTGGGGAGATGGTAGCTAAAGTCTACTCAACTAAGGTTAGACCAATAACAGACAAAAGTAGGATATCACCAGAATCCAACTTGGTGAGCCCAGTGAGCTTACTGGATTTGGTTATGGAGCACAGGTGAAGTGTGGATGACTCCCAAACAGCTACATCACCTCATCATGGATGACAGCCTCCAGCAAATGCATTATGGAGCCCTGCTTTTAATTATCTACTCCTTATACACTACAGCATCTCCCAAGATCACATGCAGCTTGGGAAAGGAGGAAAAGCTGGACTCTTAGGCACGGGTCTCCTGACCCTCTCTAATGTCTTGTTCTGATCTAGTTGCCATGACTATGGGATAAAATCCAAGGTAACATCTAGTTATGTCTGGAGGAAAAAGCTTCCATACAATATACAGGAAGAAGGAAACTTAAGAGCTGTGAAAGAAAAAACACGTATTTCTGATTAGATATTATGTTAAAATGTGCCATAAGGGGAATCCAGCAAGATGGCTCAGCCGTAAAGGTGCTTGCTGCATCTGAGCCTGATGACCTGAGATCAATCCCCAGGACCCACATGGTGGAAGAAGAGAACCAATTCCCTCTGGTTGTCCTCTGACCTCCACACTTAATGCCATCGTGTGGATATGCACCCCCCAACATACACAAAAATTTTTTGTTGTTTTTATAAAGACAAGTTCTCATTACATAGCCCTGACTAGCCTGGAACTCACATGTAGACAAAAATCTGCCTGCCTCTGCCTCCCAAGTACTGAGAGTAAAGGTGTGGCCACCGCGTCCGTCAATATTTTTTAAAATACGCTACAGGTCTCAAAAACAGACAGGCAAATAAATAAAATAAAAATAAATTGGCGATGCATGCTTGAATTGCTATAAGATCCCTTGAGCTATTTAGTTGTATCTAGTATTAAAATACACATAGGTGGAGGGAAGTAGTGGAGGGTGGATAAGATCAAAATATATTGTATACATGTTTGAAATTTGCAAAGAACAAATAAAAATATTTTTTAAATACACATACGTGTTCATAATAATATGTCAAACACAGAAGTCAGAAACTGACCGGATAGGCAAATCACCTTTCCCTTGTGAGTAGTCTACCTTTCCTCAGAATTAAGCAGACAAAATAATTTGTAAGGCATATGCTTAGTTAAATTATTACAATACAATTGATTAGTGAACACACAGTGCTTTATGAAATAGATGACATTTATGAGAAATGATCATGACATAGGCAATAGAGCGTTTTTTTTAAACTGCCCTGGGGCATTATTGAAACTGAAAGTGCATTTCAAGATGACTCATGGCTCAAAGAAAAAAAAATTTTTAAAGAAAATCACTTAACTATGAATAAAGAACATGCTATATACCAAAGGTGATGAATCTCTGCATTAAGGAAGACTAAAAATTAATGAGCTGAACTTGCATTTCAGGATGGAAAGCAAGCTGATCACAGACCCCACCGACCCACGGATGTACAGACCCTCAGTCCCCGATCACAGATCCACTAACATCACTGTCACCCCGCTTCCCGCCCCATCCCCCAAATTCCAATAACTCATCTCAAAGTGTCCCATCATAGACGAGAGAAGCCCTTGTCACTGACCAACCATCAACACACCAGACACCCCCAGGACCAACTCCAATATCCACACACACATTACTAGCTCGTCAAAAATTCTTAGTCGAAACCAACCAGAATCATCTCAGAGACTTCTTGTCATTAAAATATGGAAATGCTCCCAATAGAAGCGGCAGAAAGGAGGGGGAAAAAAAAAAAAAAAAAAAAACTCCGTTCGAGGACTACTTCCACTTCCGATCCGACTTCTACAACCGCCTCTGTGGTCTGTTAGTACTGCGCATGCTCCGAATTACTGTTGACGCCTCAGGTCTCCAACAGTCAACATGGCGCAGATGCAGCTGCACAGCCTTTCTACCATGTCCTTAAGAAGCGCAGAGAACATGGCCGCGCCCACGGATGCCTGGTCCTGTGGGCCGCCATCTTCGAAGTTTATCAGTTCCGTATAGCGGAAGAAGAATAGATGGCCAAACAAGTTTCATAGAGATGAGAAATGGTCCCCCAGATCGCAGTACCGTGGCTACCGGGAGGAGCAAGGTCTGGATTTTGCGCCACTTAGAGATCTAGTTGTCACACGATCTGCTGGAAGAAGCTAGTACCAGGGATCTGGGAGAAAAACCGTTTGAGAGGGAGGGGTCGTGGGAGAAACCATTGGGAAATGATGGGTGAAGTCAAAGTGGTACTGTCTGCTTTATGGAAAAATCATTCATGGAAAACGTGGACAGCCCAGCCCAGGATGGGAATCTGCTTCTAAGAGAATCCCCCAGCAATCCCGAGAGGCGTCAGAACCGTTCAGGACACAACTGGAAGGGTGCTACAACCTTTAATGGGAGAATGGTACATACTGTACAACCCTTCCCTGGGAGGTACCGTCAGACGGAGGGAGAAGCAGTCAATGTGGTCCTGAAAGATAGAGAGAGTGGAGGCTGGAGGCCCATTCGTTTCCATCACCCTGCACTCTAGGTCTAGTAAAATAGTGGGCAGCAGTAATTTTTTAAAATAATAAAGTTAGGGGTGGTTGCTCGCACTTGTAATCTCAGCACTCGGGAGACTGAGGCGGGAGAATTTTCGCGAGTTCCGGGCCAGTGAGACCTGATCTCAAAGGGGGGATAGAAGGAAGAAGGAGGGAGTCTAATAAGGCCAACAAAATTAGAATGTAATTAATAAATATTAATGCCTTTACTGTGTAATTTTAGATTGTGTTTTTGACTATTCCTTTAGTCTATTATAAAGCAGCTAGCTCCCTCCTTTCTTGATAAGAGTACAAGTGGGAAGTTCTAGAATTACAATCCCTTTCACTTTATGAACATCTAAGCATTCTTCAGATATCAGCTTTCATACTGCTTCTACCAGAAAGTTCTATCCAAAGGTGGTGGGAAGTTCTACACTCTGGTGGGGAAGGTGTTTTGAGGGAACTGAGCCTAGACTATGATGTGGGTATGCTGGATACCTTCAGGCAAGTTTGGGATTCATCTTAAATAACTTAAAAAGAGGGTGTAACTCAGTGGTGTAGCAACTGTCAGTTAAAAGGTTGTTTTCTGTTTATCTGAGGTTCTCTTCCTTCAAAAGATGTCCTAAGGTGCCATTGGGCTGCCTCAGTGTGTAAAGGTGCTTGCTGCCAAGGCTGACAACCCAAGTTCCATGCGCTGGATCCACATAGTGGAAGGAGAGAAGTGACTCACACAAGCTATCCTCTGACACCCACAGGCAAGCCCGCATATAACACAGTCATACACAAACACAATACAACAGTTTTTAAAAGATGTTCTAAGGAAAATTATGTGTTATTCCATTTGTGAACATACATTTCTACCCAGAGGCTTAAGAATTACTGCTACCAATAAAAAAATTTTTAAATAAAATAAAACAAAACAAAAAGAATTACTGCTACCTTCACTGATAATATGATTATAACTACCTCTTTTAATATTCATAGGGAAATGATAACAATTTTTAAAACTGTACAAGGAGGGGTGAGGGGTACACAAATGAAGAAAGAATTAAATTTTTGGTAAATATTGAAGCTGAGTGATGGGCCAAAAAATTCTTTTCAAAAATGTTTTTGTGAGCTGGGTGTAGTGGCGCACGCCTTTAATCCCAGCACTTGGGAGACAGAGGCAGGCAGATCTTTGTGAGTTCGAGGCCAGCCTGGTCTACATAGTGAGTTCCAGGACAGCTGGGGCTACAGGGAGACCCTGTCTCAAAAAGACAAAAAAAAATGTTTTTGTGAAAATTTCATAGAAAAACTGTAATATTAAAAAGAGCCTGGCGTGGTGGCGCACACCTTTAATCATCTTAGCACTCAAGAAGCGGAGGCAGGTGGAACTCTGTGAGATAGATAGTGAGTTCCAGACCAGCTGGGGCTGCAGGAGACCCTGTTTCAAAAGACCAGTGGTCTGTGCACTCATACCCAGATGCCAGATGAAACTCTTTTTTTTTGGTCTTTTTGTAAAACTTACCAGGGGGAAATAGCTTGTATCAAGACAGTTCCTACATTAATGGATCTGGAGTGCAGGAGACTGTTCTGCTTCTAAGATCATCAAAGGGGGAAGCAGGCTGTCTTTACCCAAAAGGTGCAGTCTGTTTATCTTGTCTTCAAAGACCAGGGTGCTCATTAACTCAGTTCCTGAGTCCTCAGGGGCTTGCAAAACCTTGAGGCCCTGTTGGGGAGGGGGCTGCTGCAGATCCGCACCCTAACAACAACCACTTTGTCAAACAGTCTGCCAGTTGCTTGCTAAATTAAATATTGTCTTATCATAAGACCCACCAATTCCACTACCACAGCCTTCCTAATATAAACAGAAGTTTTGTTTTTTTTTTTAATTTTAAGAATTTTACACCTGCTGGGCTTGGTGGTATACACCTTTAGTCCCAGCACTCAGGAGGCAGAGACAGGTGGATCTCTGTGAGTTCAAAGCAAGCCTAATCTACATAGTGAGTTCCAGGCCAGCTGGGGCTAAAGGGAGACCCTGTCTTTCAACAACAACAACAACAACAACTACAAAAGGAATTTTGCACAAATGCTTCTATCAGCTTTATTCAAATGAACCAATCTAGAAACAGCCCAAACATGCACAAATGTGACTGGATATAGACACAATTCATCAAATGGAATACTATTCAGCACTTAAATACTGAAATAAACAGTATAAATCCCATAAGCATCATGTTGAGAGACAAAAGCCAAATTAAAAAGTGTGCCTACTATGTGATTCCATTTATTTATTTTTAACTTGAGGCAAGGTCTCACTATGTAGCCCCAGCAGGCCTTAAACTCACTATGTAGACCTGGCTGGCCTTGAACTCAACAGTGACTGCGTGCCTCTACTTCCCTAGTGCTGGGATTAAAGGTGTGCACCATCACACTGACAACCTGAGATTCCATTTTTAAGAAACTCTAGATTAGACCCTTCCATCTCCCCCGCTGTTCTCTACTCCTAGTTTGGGCCCTGCGCCATTCCTAGTCTTGGGACCCCAGACACCTGGGGAACCAATACTGCTTCCTGATCCTTTTCACTCAGAACAACTTAGTCCTCGTGCCTCTACTTCCCTAGTGCTGGGATTAAAGGTGTGCACCATCACACTGACAACCTGAGATTCCATTTTTAAGAAACTCTAGATTAGACCCTTCCATCTCCCCCGCTGTTCTCTACTCCTAGTTTGGGCCCTGCGCCATTCCTAGTCTTGGGACCCCAGACACCTGGGGAACCAATACTGCTTCCTGATCCTTTTCACTC